AATAATCTTCATGCCATGGTTCTGCTTGATTTTGGTAGGTTTACTGCTGCTGGCTCAGAGCTATGCAAATACACTGGTAAATACCAACTTTACATTAAAATTGGCACTTGTTTTGACTTTGTGGGTATGTTAATCTAGTCGCTTTTATACAAGCACTGTAGTTATAACATGCATTAATTCAGATAGTTAATTTACATTTTATTTTGTTAGGAAACAGAGAATGGAGCATTTTTACTTGTTCTTTAGAAAACTGAATATTTAACTGCAAAACCAGCATTTAAAAATGATTCCTTTAATTAATAATACAACCTGCAAGAGATGGGTTCATAAAAGTGTGCTTGAATGAACTGTTCTAGTCTTTTTAGGCAGGTTTTAGTGCAAGAACAACCTGATCTAACCACAAAGTTATCCCTAGTTAAGAGCAGGGGCTTGGACTACAGAGTTCACTTCCCACCCAGATCTTTCTGTTGTAACTAAGTTCTTCCGATGACTGGGTCCTCCATGCTTCCAGAACTAGGAGATCTCATGGTCTTACACTTCTTCTTGCCCATTGATGATGTGTAAAAGAACACTTTCAGCCTTTTCTCCTCCCAGCCTGTTTTTCAGCTTTGAATGAGTTTTCAGCTTTCAATGGCAGCCATCCAAACCACTGAAATTAAATTGTACATCTGCAAAAACAGACTGAAATGGGCAACTCACCCCCATTTTTTTCACAGCAGGCTTTAGGAGCTTAGCATTTTTCACAGGTTTGCCTGTCCTTAAGACTTGGGCAAAATTGTCTTTTTTAAACTAACACTTAACATTCTATGATGTATTCAGAAGAAGAAATGTACATTAGTGTAAATTAGCATAAATTAATCAAGATGTTGACTGTTTTTATAAATGGAATGTATTTTATTTGACCAAACCATCTGTTTCTTCTGATACTGTAACTGCTAGGCAATGGAGCTGCAGCTGTCTTTGGAAAGATAGATAGGGACTTGGAGAGTGTGCCACCCATTACTCTGTGAGACACCAGAGGGGAGCAATCCTGCAGTCATCTGTAGCTACCACTTCCTAACAAAGTGTATCTTCAGCGAGGAACATCTTGGGAAGATCTGGTCTTCTTTTCAACCAGGATAACAAAGTTCTCTCTTGGGAATGTTCTTCTTCCCTGCCACCAGCTTGGAGATCTCTGGACTGATTTGGCCAGCATTTGATCTTCAGCAATTCACCTTTCACGTGGAGCCATGCAACTGCTGCTTGTTACCCCAGCCTGCTCTACTGCAGGGCAGATTGCTACCCAGCATATACCTGACCTGATTCAGGACTGACAGCAGCCGGGCTTTGAAGGGGAAGCTGAACCAAGATGACCTCCAGGGGTACCTTCCAATCAGTGTTTCCAGTTCTTAGAGATATATATTTTTTTTTTCTTTGCAGGTTTATATTTTTGCCTCAGAGGAACTGATCCCTGATAATCTGAGCATCACCAAAACATACTCTACAACTGCACCTCCAGCTGTCTGCTTAAACAGGTTGTGTAAAGCCCCTGTGCTTAACAGACAGACAGAGACTGTCTAGCACACAGCTAGACATCTGAATGAGTGCATAGCAGGTAAATAATATCTTAAATGCACTCAATGAAGGGCGGAGCTAAGGGGGTAGTTTAATTGCTCGCCATGTTTCTAACAGATGAGGCAGGTAGTCCCACTGGTGGGAGGGGACAGTCATGGCTAGGGAGGCTCCTGTGCATGACACACAGTGGACACGGACAGGGGCAGAGCCTGGGGGTGGGAGCCTGCTGAGTGCCTCTGCCCTCTGGAAAGGGCAATGCTTTGCTGAACAGCCTCAGCCATCACGCTTGCCCAGCTACCTAGAAATGATGTCTACAGTTAGGGCAATCACAGCTGGACAAAATAAACCAGTCATTTGTGTGCACAAACAATTATCATTAATTAATGGGCTTCAAGAGGCTGGCAGAAATCTTCCCTCTTGTCATGCTGTACGGCTCCAGCTTTCTGAAGCTCAAGACTTGCCTTTACTCATCAACTGGGTTATTTCCAGTTGCTCTAAAAGGGCAATTTCTCCAGCTCTGTTTTAGAAAGTGTTTATGTTGCACTGACAGCTGCTCCAGGAAATCTGCAAGCTAGCCCGTTATTTAAAGGAGTTCATGATTACTTTAACTTAGTGTATTCCCTTTTTAAGCACTCCAGCTCTAGAAGTAAACTTTTCAGATCCCATTATCACTACAGTGATCCTGGAAACTATTAACAGTGATCTTTAAAAAAAACAACACCAGAGTAACAAAAAAAACGAGTAATTTTTGACTGATTTTTTTTTTCTGCTTCCAGTCAAACCGATTTGACTTTGTTGACCTGGATTTCTTGCTTGTTTTAGACAGAAGCAATATATTTCCTCTCACTATTTCACATCTGGACTGCTATGTCACCCCCCCTTGACACTAGGGATCTGCAGAGCTGACTCTTTTCCAGCTTTGTAGGCTTTCCTTAACAGTCCAGAGCCTGCCAGAGACCACAGACACCTTTGGGTGGCTTCCATAGGACAACAAACACCATTTACTGACGACTGGTGATCAAAAAAGCCTTCACCCCAATAGATGCTATTTAAACCCCCCCTTACCGTTTGCCTAGGAAGTACATCATCCCCAGATGACACCAGCACCAATGCAGAGTAAATATTTACAGAACACTTCCTCCTCCTCTCCTTACCAACAATTCTGCTATCTGCAGTTGGTAATGGAGAGGTGCCACGTTCAATTCTATCCAAAACAAAAGGCATTCCAAAAAAAGCTGCTTATGTTTCTAGCCTTGCTGCTTATAGGCTTTGCTCCCACTGGCTTTATTTTTGTTCTGTGTCATTTCTATCTTCTTTTATTTTCTCCTTTGGTGAACACATCTTGCACAGTTACTTCCCTTATTAGCCTTGCTGCTTATAGGCTTTGCTCCCACTGGCTTTATTTTTGTTCTGTGTCATTTCTATCTTCTACTGAGTCTTTTATTTTCTCCCTTGGTGAACACATCTTGCACAGTTACCTCCCTTATTCCCTCTCTTCCAAGGTTAGCTTATAATATCCTTTCATTTCCGTTTATACTTGGAAGTAATTTAAAAATTCTTGGGCTTTGTCCATATTTTTGTCTAAGTTCCTTCCCCTAAATCAGAGCATTCCCTCAGCTGCAGCGGGTGCCCCCTGAATGCTCCCCACTGCTGGGTGAAGCACCCCTGTGCTGGAGAGAAGCAGGACACGGCGGCAGAACGGCAGGCAAGGGCAGCTTCCCACCTAGCACTGCCCGGCCGCTTTTGGCACCAAAACCATTTTCACTGAGTCATCCAAAACGTTCCCATTCTCAGTCTGCCAAGAAGCACAAAGGTAAGCCTGTGGCCAAGCTTTAGCCTGAACACAGGAGTATTCTGGTCTACCCTCCCCGCTCAGCATCCTGCACTGATTGCAGGAGACCTGAGACTTGTGTTTCCCTCAGCTGAGCTACCCTGCAGAGTTACCCCTGCGCAATGAGCAGCACCTGAACCACAGGCCATCTTCCTGCCTGGTTTGGTGTGCAGCATCCCCTGCCCAGCCACTCCACCTCCACACTACACCACCTGCTTTTACACACTACTTAGCATCCTTCGCCGGCAGTGGCTTCACTAGGGGATCACTGCTTCAAACCCCTCTCCACCCCACAGCTCCTGGAGAGCTTGCTGCTAATGGTGGCCACTACAGCCCAGGGTCGTGTCCCATCAAACCCAAACCACCCAGAGGACTCCGCATCCTTTTGTCCCTTGTGCTTTGTCCAAAGCCAGTTTTCAAGTTCAGATCAAATCCTCCCTTTGTTCTGTTAGTTGAGCACTCAGTTGATATCTGGACAAACCCCAGCTGAAGAAATCTGTTGTCCTGCTGCAGTCTTCTCAAGCACTATATGATGACACAGCATCTCCTGTTATGAAGGCTGTACCAGGCATACAACCAACATCTCCCAGAATTTGTTTCCTCTCTGTTTAAGGAGTGAGATAGTCTGAGACAATCTAGGGATTGAGATCCAGACTCTGGCAGTGGTACCACAAACCATATGAGCCAGTCCCAGTAACAGCTTGCCTCTATTTTTTTTCTGTGCAGAACAGAACCCAAGCACCCCTTCTCCAAGCAAAAGCAAAGAGTGGCTCAAGCTAACTCATCTGAACAGAAGACTGAACACCAGCTTCTGAGCTGATGCCTTTGACAGGGTCCCTGTACAATTACAAGGTGAAAGCAGCATTGTTCTTCACCTACAGTCCTCTGGTTTTACCAATGAACACCTCAAAGAGCTGTGGCTTCATGAGTACATGAAGTAAAATGCTCAATTCTTTTACAGCTGATCGTGTGAGGAAATTATTTCATGTTTCAGGTGAAAAGCTTAAACCCTTCTGAACAGCAGAGACCAAGCAAGAAGAGACTCAAGCTCATCAGTCTCCAGGCCATGGCAATGGAACTGATAAAGGGGAGCTTCAGTATGGATCACCTCTGCACAGTTTCCTGCAGACACTACACAGACAGACATGTCTTCAGTAATTGTTTTGGAGCCTAACATTATCTTAGTAACGACAGCTGGAGTTTCTGGCAACAAGGTGATCCAAGGTGACAGTGACCCACCAGGGAGCAAGTTACCAGGAAAACCTGCCCTCGTTCTTGGATGCATGAGGTTTGCCCTGACAGTCTATCTTCTCAGTTGTGTTGCCCAACAGCCACAGTGAGGGTTGGCCTTCTAGAACTTCCACCTCTCCTCATTTAAAAGAGGACAACTGATGAAGTAAATGATCCCGCAAAAACATGAATGATGTCCACCCTCTTGTGAGGGCATGACTGAAGGGGCAGATATTTTTCACAGCCACTAGGAAAGCTCAGTAACCTTTGGCAATTATATTAGGTACATTTTCAAGCCTGACTTACAATTTCTGTCACTTATTAACACAATTAAAGAGACCGGTTGTCACAGCTCACTTTGGAGGTGACAGCAAGGCAAACAGAGTGTTTCAATTAACTTTATTTAATTCCTTCTGTATTATACAAGCGGGATCTGAATCCCCAAACTTCCCATCATGAACATAATGGAGAAGCACCACTGCACAAAAGGAAGGCAGAATTTTGTAGCTGGAAGACAGGCTAGGTCAAGCCATTCCTCCTCATGCGGTCAGAAATTCTTCCTCTCTCACGTGATGTGCTTCCCAGACCAGCAGGCTTACCCCAGGAAGAAGAGACAAAGCTAGCTCTAAACAATCCCTCCCCCTCTCTGCAACGATAGAGGCTGCTCAGTGCCAGCAGTGGAATGGTTAAAGACAGGGAGAACGTTTGGTTTTCAGTCTCTCACCCAGCCCGCTAGATGTGGCTAGAGGTGGCCTGGCTACTCGCTAGCGCTCTCCTGGAAAAGAGCCAGCAAAATCAAAGACCTGAAATCCTGGAGACTTACCTCCTTTCCTTCCCCCATCCTATAGCCTTCTTCTCTAAGCAGAGAGGAGGCAACGAACTCTGAGGAGGCTGAAGGAAAGCCAAGGAAAATCAGGGGCTACCTGAATCCCTTGGAATCTGGTGGCTACCCTGGTGCCCTCATTCATTCCCTTTGAGGTTCAGAGACCTGTTCAGAATAGTACACAAAGAGGGCCTCTCTTAGGGATTCAGAAGCAACCAGGGATACAGAACACACAGCAGCCATTCTGAGGGTACACACCATTCCAGGGATGGCCCAAACCACAAACAGGGCAAGACTCCCCCCAGCCAAGGCCCCAGGGGCTGGGGGAGCTGGACGAAGCCCTGGCAGGGGGAAGAGAGCTCCTGCAGCAGTGCTGAGGGCTCACGGCGGTTTACTTCTTCTTCCTCTCCTGGGAACAGCGAGGGCAGAACCTGCAAAAAGCCAGTATTTATGGCATGATAGGAACAGTGAATGTACAGTCCCAAAGGACCTTTTCCAAGGTCCCAGACAAAGCCTAGATTTAAATTTTTCTTTTTAAGTGGTCTTCTAAGTGTATATATATACAGTGTTCTCCCTTCTGCCACCAAGGACCTCCCCTTTCCAAAGACCAATGGGCCCCTCAGATTGTTTGTTCACTCACCATTTTCCTCTTGGTTTTGTTGTCAGACCCACACAGGCAAAATGAAACCATTCAATGGAGCACTGTTGGGATGGAGAGCAGACAGTTAAAGAGCAGTTTTCTTTTGAAATCACTGCTTCAGGACTACCAAAGCTTCTCAGCATTTGATAACAAACTCCTAAATCCCTAACAGCAATCAGGGAACGAAGACTCACATCCAACCTACACAATATTAGCAAGGAGAACTCCATTCTTTCCTTGCTAACTGTGGGGGCAAGAAAACAACCTGTCATTTTAAGGAAAGCCCTGAAGAAACAGGACCTTAACAGGCCCTAGCAAGCCACCTCTCTGCCCTTCCAAACTACGTGAGGTAAGCCCCCTTCTTGCCTCTGCTTGCTGTATCAGGCCCCACCCAAGCAGGACAAGACTGTCTCCGCTCCCTTTTCAGGACACCTCCATCCAATGCAGGCTCTTACGTCTGGGTTGTCGCAGCCAATCATCTCCCCATAGGAGACCTGGTGGCAGAGGCAGTAAGTAGGCTCGTTGGGATCGACGGGCATATCCAATACGTCTGAAGGGTGCACATTTCCAAAGGTGACTGAAGGCATCCCATACTCTGTACTACTGCAGGACAGGAAAAAAGTAGGTCAGCAAAACAACTGGCTTCGAGCTCCTTCACGTCTCCCAAGGCAACGCCCTTGTTCCCTAGAGACAGCCACTTCTCCACGTACACTCCATGTCACTCAAGTGACCTGCTTTCCCCTTCATGGCACACCCCCTGAAAGAATCAGGTCTCCTTCCTCTTGCTTCCCAAGGAGGGTCAGGGGACACACCATCTGGTGTAGGGGAGGACCAGATTCTCTGTGAGGAAGCCTGGCTAGGCCTCCCTTGGTCTGAGTTTAGTGCTGCTCCTCTTCCCTGCAAACCTCAAACACTTACGTGCGGACAAGCTTCAATTTCTTTTGGGCAGTTTTTGGTGCTTCCTCATCAGAATTCTTCCCTTTAGAGCGAGCACGGGCAGCTTTCTTCTCTTTCTGGGCTCGGCCCTCTGGTAAGAAGAGAAAAAAGTGTTGCATCTGCCACCCCATCAAAACAGACACCTGACAGTAACAACCTCTCCAGCACTAAAACACACTCCTGCTCTGGAGTGTGTATTTGCTTCGGGCCATGCAGCCCATCTTAATTTTATCTAGTGGCCTCGACCATGCTCACACAAGAAGAGCCCAGGTCACCATCTTTTTACCTGTCCTTCAGATTCCAGCGTAACAGTCTCTGATCTGTACCACTCCAGTGCCTGCCTTCATCCCCACCACTTCCATAGTCACTTGGCTGCCTCCTGTATCAATCTGCAGCCCCGTGGTGGTACTCACTCTTCTTGCCCTTGCTAGAAGAACTGTCATAGTCACTCGACTCTATCTGCTTCTCCTTCAGATCTGCTTCAAAGCGAGCGAGGTCTGTGTCCAGCCGCCGGATGTGCTTATCAACCTGCAAAGACAACAGTGACCAGGAGTCAGCACAGAATAGAGCCCAAGGGAACAAGGAGGAGAGGGCGTGGGGCTTGCACTAAGAGCTGAGAAGCAAGAGCAGATAGGACCTACAAAGAGAGCAGGGCCTTCCAAGACTGGAGGCTTTAGTACAGCCTTTCATACAATAAACACTAGACACTTCCCTTCATACCATCTCGTAGGTCTGCATAGCCAGCTGAACCTTGTCGTCCCCAAACTCCTTGCATTTCCCATAGGCATCCTGGATTTGCTTGAGGAGCCCCAGTTTCTCCTCTGAAGACAAGGTCCGTGCGTTGCTGATGTACTCTGTGGCCAACTTATCGATCTCCGACTTGAGGTCTGAAACAAGTTCAGCATTAAATACATAAATACACATACATCCACACACACTGCAGTGCCCTCCGTGACCAGGGACTGAAAAACCCAGCAGCTGTAGGCTTCCTCCCCTGCCCTGCTACCCCTGTGGTAAGGGCAAAGGAAGGAAAAGCTGTTCAAGCCGTGTACTTCCTGCCCCCTCCACAAAACCACCTCTAACCCTCACCTTCTGTCCTCTGATCCAGATCTCGCATGAGCTGGAAGTTCCTCTGCAGTTCAAACGGCAGGTTCTCAATACCTGCAGGGAAAGGGGGACACATGGAGAAGTCAGGCTCCTGTTCACCAGGCCAGTGCAGGAACAAAGCTAACTGACAGCAACACGTCCGTCACTCCAGCCGTTCCCAACGCCCCTTCCTGGCACAGACTCGTGTCCTTCTGTTTGTCATCGACTCCAAAGGACAGACTCTAAAAACGTGGTATACTGAATCCAGGAGCACAGCTCTGTAATACATACTAGCCAACAGAAAACTGCTGCCATGCAGAAAACCCTACAATAAGAAAGCAGAAACCCAAAATTTGTATTGAAGTCAGCCACTGCAATGCAATGTATCCATGCAAGAACCCTGCTCAGCACAGAGAAGCAGCACAGCAGCTGGTAAATAATGCCACTTAGTCACTTCTATACAGGGACGTACAAATTAAAGTCGATCAAATGCTAATTAACTGAAAAGTGAGTCTGTTTTAGTGCATTCATTTTACATATAGGGGACAGAGGACACTTTGTTCATAGGCCAAGAGGAAATCTGAGGCAGGACGGGGAGCAGTGAGCAGCAGTCACGTGTTCCTCTTCTGCCTTCTGCCCCGTAAGCTCGCTGTGGTCTGTCCAACACCTGGAAGGATGCTGCATCTGGTGAATAATAAATATCTGCAGGGCTCCGAATGAGCAATGTGATGTTGATAGTCAATTAATTTTCAATGTAGTGTGCTGCTCACCCCCTAGGCATCACCAGATGCTCAACTGACAGAGCCGATGAAAACAACTCTCATTTTTCCATGCCCGTCTAATCAAACTGAGATCTAGTGTCACTGCATTAACTTGAAGTTCAAGCTTCATTATTGTCACCTCTATACCTAATTTTAAAATAGATACAAATTTCTCTTGGAGCTTTAAAAAAAAAAGAAAAGGTGGGGGAAAAGCTGTTCAGAAACACAACATAAGCATGCTTGCTTCCTGAACCCACTCTCTAACACACAGGGAGTGTGAATGAAGACATCTCCACCCATCATCAGAAGCATCTCACACATCAGCCTAGCAGCAGTCTCTGTTTTTACTGCCACGTATCTCTACAGCAAAGACATTTCTCTGAAAAGCACTCAGCCAGTGGGGAAAGTCTGGATGCAAGAGGCAGGTTTTAACAGGTACCACACACAGGCCATTAAATGAATTCCTGTTAAGAGGTAAGAACAACTGTGGGTCTCACTGTGCTCAGAAGCTGTTCCTTTAACTGCTTTTTTTTTCCACAAACATAATATATCAAGTTACATACAGAATCCTTGTAGTAATCAAACTATTGTTGCAATAGATTTCTGTGGCCATTTCTGATTTAAATACCTGAGGAAGATCAGGTGGTAGGTATCCTTACGTACCCAGGCCCATAATCACACAGCGCACAGGTATCACCCCCCTGCATTCAAGGACAGTTAGCAATGCAAAATCAAATTCTCAAGAAGTAAGAGGCAAAATTAAGGCTCTCTGCACATTCCTGAATTTGATACTTGCATGTTTGTCCAGCGTGAGATGCTTCACACAAGCTTTAAGCAGATGACTACCAGGTCACACCCCTGCATCTCAAAAAGCATCTCAGAAGACCAAGGGAACACAATGCTAAAAATTATCACTGCTTACAGAGGGAAGTTATGGCAGGGATGAAATCCAGCTTGGGAGCCTCAAGACTATGCTCTTCTCCTTCCTGCAATCCCCAGCCTCATCAGCTCCAAACCTTTCAATTTATACAGCAAATGAAACGTGTCATAACTGCAGCACGCCACTTTTCATTCCTCTCCAAAGCATCCCCTGCAGAGAACAGACAGGTATCCTCCAGAGGAAAGCAGTTTGCACTGTGCACAATATGTCAGATTTACACGGAGTTTATTTATCCTGGAAGATCATGACTTCTAAATTCTTTATTTTGTAGTTTAAAAAAAAGAAAAAAGAGAAATGTAAATTTCTTTTTCTCTTCTATAAAAAGGAAAAGGGTACAGTTGTCCCTCAGCAGGGCTGGAAACCTCGAGACAGAGCGAGCACCTGAGCTAGCACAAGAAACAGTAGGATGCTATTCTCCAGGCAGAACAAAACCACATGAGGTTATGGCCACGTTTCACAGTGATGTTCTTGCAGCAGGAGCAACTCAGGCAGGAGTCTGCTTCTGCTTTGAACATGAAAGGAGCCATGCTCTAGTTTTTACAGCTGTTACTGTAAAAATCAACACTGGATTTTTTCTTTCCAGGCCATTGTCTGCAGAGCCTCAACCTTCCCTTTGCCTCTACATGCCTGGTCTTGTCTTTTCAGCCCATGCCACCTATCCTTCAGAGATGCTCTCTTCTTGGGGCCTCCTCCCCTCTCTGCCAGCCCCTTGGCCAGGCCAGGGGCTCCCCTGCCTCGTCACCTGCCCCCATGTGTGCAGAGCTCCCAGCAGTGAAGAGAGAGGCCATGTCCAGCTCTGGCCTGGCAGATGCTTGGCACAGACACCATTGGTAGGTCATTTACCAGCCAAGCACCGATGAGCAATTATATTCCAGAGGCTCATTAGCTAGCCAGGTATCCACAGGGACCAATGAGACAAATCCCTGTCATTTGAACGCTTTCCCTGCTAAAACCATCAAAATGTTTTCCTAAAACCTCAGCGAGATGCTTCATTCTGCAGTTCTATTATTGTACCAAAGTTCTGTAATTGCTTCATCAATAAACTGGGAGAAAACAAACTAAGTGACAGTACAGAGACTTTATAACCAGAACTGTTCTAAAGATGTTCTATCTGTTCAGCTCAAAGTGTGAAGTAACTGAGTGCTTTACGCACTATGATCTGGAGAGCATTTGGCAAGAACAAATTGTGTAACAACATAAAGCTGCAGCTATGCAAGTTCTAACTGAGCAACAAATTATTTGTATGGTACATAGTTTAACCTAACTACTATCTGCAGCTTCACTCAAAAGGTCTCATCTACCCTTTAAAAAAAAAAGTGATGCTCTGCATCACAGAACTTATGACAGAGGCCAGCACACTTGCCGAAGCCGCTTGGCCTGTGCCATGCTGGCTGTCAGACATCCCCACCCTAACAGTCCCATTAATCCTAAAATTTAAGTTTCCATTTCCTCATCCCTGCTAACACAACACGCTTTCCCTCAGTCCCCATCATAAATATTCATGGTATTTATGTAATTTTCCTTTCCTCCTGAATTTCTCTTTTTGCCTTTACAATCCATTTGCTCTTTCTTCTTATTGTAAGATGCACCTAAATTTCTCATGACCAAATACTACATACTGTAAAATACCCAAACAATTCTTGAATTCTGAAAGGGATCATAATGAAGAAAAAACACCCTACAGGTATCCTTGGTCACTAGAGAAGAGGACAGTGAAGGACAGTCACTCTGTTCCAGATAAGCAAGGGCCTCTTTCAACACAAATGGCATAGCAGCAAGAGAGGAAGATGGTGAAGATGTACAGTGAGGAGTGCCAGCAAGGCCAGCAGCCTGGCCAGAGGACAGCCTGGGGCTAACACAGCTGTGTCAACCTGCACAGCCCCACACAGACACATACAGCCCCACACACAGACACGTACAGCCCCAGATTCCTGTGCTGCTAAGATCACCCTGAAAATCATTGCTGCAGGCCTACCATTGAGTTTTCCCTACCCATGCCTTTTTTAAATCTTGTTTTCATCTCTTATCACAAGTTAGAAGTCTACCTACCTAGCTTCCTCTTTCCTAAATTCTGATCTCTTCACTACCCTCATTCTTTCGTCTCTTTTATTCTCCTCTTTGTCATTCCTGCCCCCTTTCATCCTTCTGCAGGCATCTGTAACCGTGCTGTCTTGTCCCACATCCTCTCACTCTCCAAAAGCCAGAATCCATCATCACTCTCCATCCCCTCTGATTCTTAATATTTTATTTTTAGAAACACAGGTGGGGTGTCAAGTGTAGGCAACCAATAAAACTTCAGCTGTCTCGTCAGCTATTAGCTCTGACATACAGACACAGAGCAAGCCTACACAACCAGGTAACTTCCACCATGCTGCAGTCCTCCACCCCACTCTTAACTGTGCCAAACAACAGGTTTGTCCTGTGACAATGCCCAAATTCCTGGAAACAGATCCATTGCACCAAGTGTTACATAAATACCTGGTGCCCTCCCAGAGACACCTGGTCACCCGTTGTGTTCAGATGCAGGTTTAAACTCACTTAAAAAACTGAAAATACATTTTGAAACATAACCATGGTTGCTTTATTGAACAGCACAGATTTCAGCAAACACTTTAAACACCACATTGCTGAAGGTAATTTAAAATAATCCTGCTTGTGCCAGGGACTGCCACAATGAGAGGGCAAGTTCTTTGTCCCCCCCCCAAAGGAAACTGTCTGGAATCTTGCAGAGGCAGCACATGGGAGTTTTCAGCACTCCACGATTCTCAGTTTTGCAGCATTTGAAGTATACTGAAGGACAACTGGCTTTAAAGCCATCCTCCAGGGCTCCCGAGCTTCCTTGCTGCCTCATTGCGGGAAGGGTTGTTTTTATATCACTCTGTCCCTCTTTTTGAGGGTACAACCCTTTTACACTGCTGCTTCTACTCTGTCCTGTGTTCTCAGCTAATTATTTACCTTCCTGTTGAAATTGGTGCATGAGCATAATACACATACCTGTCTCTGTGTTCACACCTGGCTCAGCCCCACCAGCCTGACTGTAACATTATTGCCCCAGCAGCCCTGTAAGGGACATTACCTACATTTTTATAAAGGGGGTACTCAGGTCCATGGTAAACTGATTTAGCCACAGGCACCCAAGAATTCTATAAGTCATATACCCCAAGCTCTGGGCCAGTGCACTGCACACTAGTCCACCCCAGGCACACCTGCTTCAGGCACTGCCCAGGAAAAGACTGCTATCAGTCAGCAATGATAGAGTAACAGCCACAGGAACCTAGTACTCCCCCAGGGTGTGGACCCTCTCCTTTTTTTGTCTTTTGCTTATTACATTAGTTCAATGTTACAGCACCCACAGCCAAGAGAGCAGGCAATGTTGTTATGTCTCAGAAAAGGGAT